CACCGCTGCCCCGGGAGAGAAGCGGCTGCGTCAGGGCAGCTCCGCCCCGGAGCGACGCCGGGACCCCCACCCACCCGGGAAGGGTCCTGACTCCCGGCCCAGCCGCTGAATGAGCCCTGAGAGGGGCAGGGACCCCCCACCCCCACCCCAGACCAACCCTGGGTGGAGCAGAACAGAACCGATTGAATCGACCCCCCCCACGGAAAACGGGAACGCGTTTCTCGCTTCCCAAACCCTCCCCGCACCGGGCCGGCCCTGCGGGGGGAGCACCTTCATCCCGACAGCCCGGCGGGCTCCGCGGAGGAGCAGGCGGCCCCTGGGGACCCCGGGCACGACTCACCGTCGCGGGACATGCCCAGCGCCAGGCATTTCTGCAGGCGGCAGTGCTGGCAGCGGTTGCGGTTGGTGCGGTCGATCAGGCAGTTCCTCTGCCGGGAGCAGGAGTAGCTGGCGTTGTTCTGCTGGCTCCTCCGGAAAAAACCCTGCGCGGGATCGGGACGGGACGGGACGGGTTGGGGAAGTGCCCGGCTGGAATGCCAGGCCCCCGCAGCCGCCCCCACCCGCCCCCAGCCGGCGGTCCCCTGGGCTCACCTTGCAGCCCTCGCAGGTGATGACACCGTAGTGGATCCCCGAGGACTTGTCTCCGCAGATCTTGCACGGGATCACCTCGATTTGGGCTGGGGAGGAGGGGGAAAGGGGGAGAACCGCGGGGGTTAATGGTGGTCAGCGCCCAGCAGGAGGAGGGAGCTGGACCCCTCCCCACGACAGCACCTGGGGAAACTGAGGCATGAGAGCTGGACCCACTGGGCAGCTCAGCCCTTCCTGCAGCCCCTGCAAGGATGCTTGCACCTCAGAGAGGTCCCCAGAAAGGCTCATACAGGGTGTGGGATACCCCCATTTGCTCCCCCATCCCCTCCAGCAGCACGAGGCAGAGCAGGAAAACCCTTGGAGCTGGGATGCTTGTGCACTGGCCTGCCCAGGACCCCGTTTTGGAATCATTCCCCTTATTTTTCAACCCGTGTGTGCACCAGGACAGGGACATCCTTTGCACGGGGACCATTCCCATCCCTGCAGCTGTGGACACTCTCCTGCCTCAGAGCTGGACCAAACAGAGGGTCTGGGCCCTCCCCATCCCCCCCAGCAGCTCCTCTGAAACCCAGGACCGATATAGCCATCCCCAGCTCAAGGTCCCGGCCCCCTTCCCCCCCCTGCAAATCCGCTTCCCTCCCCGCTTCTGCTTCGCTGGCACTGAGCTGCTAATAGGCTTCGTCCTCCTCATTTTCCAGCTGCCCCAGATCTGTGCTGGCTCTGCCCTCCCCACACGCGCCGGGGGGTGGGACACACGGGGCACCCCCGGGACTCGTACGTGCCTCCCGGCATCTCTGCACCCTCTAATCCCCGCCGCAGCCCCGCACCCCCCGGCCCGGCGCTGCTCTCGAGGGTGCTGGGCGGGCGCCGCCGCGCCAAAATAACCCCCACGGCCAGATTATGGTTATTTCCAATCTCCTGGGCCTGTGCAAATCCCTCCCCCCTCCCCGCTCGGGTAATTCCCTTCTGCCTCTCTCCTTCCCCGGGAGCCATCGGTTCTGGGAGAGGGGGGTGTGTTCTCTGGGGCCATCTCTGCGAGGGGCAGTCCCAGTGCTCGGCCAGTGCCACCTGCACCCCGGCACCCAGCAGTGTCCTGGGGTCCTCCAGTGATGTGAGGGAGGCTGGGCTGGGATGTGGAGCTTCACTGGGCACAGGGGCAGCCAAGGTGTCATCAGTCCCCCAGGGCTGCCATCGGTCCTCCATGGAGGTTATCCATCCCTCAGGGATGCAGCTGGTACCCCCAGGGATGCAACTGGTATCTCCAGGATGCACTTGGTACCCCTGGGGATGCTCAGTCCCCCAAGGATGGCCTTGGTCCCCCCAGGGCTGCCATTACTGACCCCTCAGGGGGAGGTTTGCTCCAGGCCACACTGGGGAAGGACTCACTCCACACCCAGGTGAGAGTGTGGGATGGATCCTCCTGCATCCATTGCCTCAGTGCTCGGCTCGTGTCCCGAATGCACCAGGTGATTTGGGGGGTTACCCTTCCTTCCTGAGGCTGCTGAGCTGGGCATCTCTCAGGGTTGTGTTTTATCCCCCCTGTGACTCAAAGGGGCCACATCCCAGCCCTGCCCCTCCCCAAAGCTGCTGCCTGCACCTCTGCTGTGGTTCTGGGCCTGGGGCAGCAGAGCTGGCAGGAGTGGGCAGGGAGCAGGCAGGGATGGCCAGGGCATCCTCACAGCCCCCTCAACTGCACTGGCACCACAGCCCCTTTGGCAGGGAGATGGAGGCATCCACAGGGCCCTGTGTGCCCACCCCCAAACCACCACCCAGCTCCCATGAACTGAGACACCCTCCAGTTCCCTGGGTCCTGCTGCCCCCTTCACCCACCCCTCCGGAAAGGGGATGCGACCCGCAAAGGGCGGGGACCCCTCCCCGCCCCGCCGCCCTGCCCCAAGCCCTGTCGCAGCCGCCCGGATGGGACAGCGAGGTGGTGGCATCGCGGGGGGCACAGGGAGGGGGTGCCACCCCCGGCAGGAAGCGGCGTCGGCTCGTTATGCAACGTTAATTGCAGCCGCCGGCAGAGCGGGTGATGCATCGCGGGCGCCGCGCCCTCACGCCCGCGGCCGATACTCCCGGTACCCGGAATTACCGGGCTGAGCTCGGCCTGGCACCCACCGGCACCCACCCGGCGGAGCCCGCGGGTGCCGCTCCGTGTGCCCCACCAAACCCACCCGAGCTCTCAGGGATGCTGATGCGTCGTGTGACACCGATGGCCAAACCCTGCCCCTGCACCCACGGAGGGAGGAGACCCCCCGAGAGCCCCCCGAGAGCCCCCCGAGAGCCCCCCGGAGCCAGAGCTAAGGGTGCGTGGGGATGATGCTGCCCTGGCTCCTCCTGGCGAAGGAGAAGCACTTCGACCGTGTACCCGCAGCCTTTTGGGGCTCTAATTACCGCCTGCTAATTACCCGGCCGTGCCCGCCACCGGCACCTGACCCGCTCGTAAGACGTTCGCCCCAAATAACTGACGTCGATCCGCGGCCGTAACCCCGGCGATGGCAATTACAGCCCGGGACGGCGTTTAATTGCTGCTCGGATCGTCAGCACGGGCTGAATCACCGGGTCCGCGCCCTCGGCGTCCCCTCGTGCCGCGGCCACGTCCCCCCTCGGGACCCCCGGGGCTGCCAGACCATCTCCCCTGGGACCCCTGAACACCCCCCTGGGGCGAACCCAGCGGGACGAGGAGGGATGTGGGTGCTGGCAGGGTGGCCACAGCAGCACCCTGCAGCCCCCAAATCCCGCTGTGCTCACAGCAGCCCCCACACCCCGGCTGTGCCCTCCCCCTCCCCACGGGAGCATTGGGCTCCTCCCCCCACCACGACCCTGCGAGCACCAGCCACGCTGTGCAAACGGGGGTCGTTTAGGTGGGGGAGAACCCCTTCCCCCTACCTGGGGGTGGTGGGGCAGGAAGGGAAACTCCACCCTGGGGCTAAGATAGGGAGCAGAGGAGGGGGGGAAAAAATGACCCCAAACCAAAACCAAAACCAAAGGGTTAAAAAAATAAATAACAACGATCCGCAGCCGGCAATTAAAATGTCCCGGCGGTGGTATTTGCTCTCCTCCCACTGTAAACACTTCTTGCCCAACTCCCGGCCCGCTGCCACCGGCCGGCCCTTATGTAAGTGGCCCCGTGGGCACGGTCCGGCCACGGGGCTCGGCCGTGGCGGGGCGATGGCCCCCGGTCCAGCGGCTGCGCGTGGCCCCGCGGTTGGAGCCATCCTGTCCCACTGACACACTTTTGTGCCCGCGGCCGCACGCGCTTGTGTAACCGCGGCCGTTAACCCTTCCCGGGACCGAGACGGGGCGAGGCAGGGGTCACCCCCACCTCCCGCCCCCGGGGAGGGGGGTTTCGGGGCGTTTTGGGGCGATCCCTCCAGCTGGGGACATGTGTTTGCTGCGCTGAGCTGCGGCGCTCTGTGGGGGACACGGGGCTGTCCCTGAGTAGCCCCCATGTCCCCTGTCACCCCCTGGCCCTGGCTGTGCATCCCCTCGGGCCCAGCACTGCTTGGCCCAGGCCTGGCTGGAGGCTCTGGTGGTTTCGGTAGAGACAGAGCCGCCCTCCCCGGAGCAGGACTCGGCCTTGGTCCTGCACCGGCACACCCTCCTCTCCATCGCCTCCGCCCCGAGGGCGGGCATCCCTCCTGCACCCCAAAACAAAACAAGGCAGGCCCTGCAGGATCCGGCCACGAGGGCCTGGACCTCTCCTCTGTGGTGCAGAGAGGATGGTGGCCCCATCCTCCTCCTCCTCCCCCCATCCCTTCCCTTGGCCATACGATCTCCCTGCTGTGGGGGAGTCACCCCAAAACCCTCAGCACCCCACTGAGCCCCAGGCCGTGCTGCCACTGCGCTGCTGCCGGAGGCTTTTCGGAGCTGCCCCCTCTCCCAGCAGCTCCTCTGGGTGCCCCCAGCTTGGACGTGAGCGTTCCTGGGTGGGGGAGTGTTTTTGGGGGCACTGGCAGGTCCCTGTCTGTGCAGTCCCCCAGGGCAAAGCTGCACACCCCTCATTCCACGGGGCTGGGTGCACGATACGGCCACCCCCTCCCTTGGGGTGCCATGTGAGCCCATGGTGCCCCTTGCCAGAGGCAGGGGATGAGCATCCCAGCTTCAGAGGTGGCTCCGTGGCCCTGTGGCCACCCCTGCCCCAAAGACCCCCCCCAGCTGCAGGGGCAGGTGCTTCCCCCGTGCCCTGGCTCATTACCCAGCGAGCCTGCTGGGAAAGCAGGTCTGTGCCCCATCCCACTGCTGCACTCCATCGGTGCCGTGGGGCAAGCACCTCTGGTAATTAGTGGCACCCCCACAGCCCCCTGGCACCCCCAGTCCCATCAAGGGCACTGGGATGCTACCAGGCTTCACCACCACCGTCCTCTCCCCTCCCAGGGGGTTCAGCATCCCCCTCCTCTGGTGCACCCAGAGCAGGGGATGAGTCCAGGCTGCACAGGGACTCACAGGGATCTACAATGGCCCCCCATCTCCCCGTTCCTTCCCTAAAACCCAGCTCTGCTCCTGCATTTCCTGCAGCAACCTCTGACCCTGGGAGCAACTGCTCTTCTCCACAGCCTCCAACCACGGTGGAGGTAGGAATAAATAAGGAAATAAAGGGAATTATCACTCCATTACAGCTGCTGATGGCTTTGCTTTTAACCAGGCTCCCGTGCTGCAGCACCTCGGGGTCCTCCAGCACCCCGGCATTGGGGCCATGGCTTCTGGCAAATCCCACCCCCATCCATGCATCCCAGGGAACCCCAGGGAAGCCAGGCCCATGCTGGACGCTCCCAGCCCCAGCTCCAGGAGCAGGGACAGCAGCAGCACCGGGGCCACGCAGGCAACGAGGAAGATTTAGATGACACAACTGCGGCCCTGAGCCAGGCCGGGGTGATGGAGGTGGGAACTGGTTTCCTAATTGATCAGCAAAGATTTCCTGGAAACTTTGGGCCAGAACACGGCTCAGCTGCTCTCACCCTGCCCCAGGACACCCCTTGGCAGCCTTCCCTCACGGCCACGCGGCCGGGGGGGCTTCGCAAGCACCGCAGTCCCCAGCCAGGCGCCGTTTCTCCCTGCCCGTGGCGCAGTGCGTGTCTCCAGCCGGGAAGTCGTAGCTTTGGGTGGGCGATGTGGCTCCCCCACGGCCACCCAGCCCCTGCCCCGGCCGCTCCGGTTCAGCAGCTCCCGTGCCACGCAGCGCCGTGCCAAGGCCAGCCCCAGTGGCGCAGGACACAGCCCTTTGCACTTTGGCTGGTGCAGAAGGATGGCAAAGGTGAGGCGGCGGGGAGGGGGACCTGCTGCCAGCCCGGGGTGGGGACAAACCGGGCTGAGGAGGGAGAACCCCTCCAGCCCTGCGGCTAAATCTGGGGGGAATTATCTCCCTGGGGCTAAATAAAGGCAGGAGAGCAGCTCTGCTCACCACATCCGATAAACCGGGCGAGATTTAGACATTAGCAGCTCTTTAAATAGCCGAGTTCAAAGTTAAACGTGACAGGGAGGAGGGAACAGGGGAGGAGGACGGCCTGGGGACGGGGACCACCATCTCCCCATCACTGCGCTTCACCCTCCAGGCGCTGCCCCTCCCTGGGGTTATCGGGGTCGAGGACCCCAAATCACGTCTGGATCGCTCAGGACCCCACAGAGCCAGTGGACAGCTTGCTCCTCCAGCCTCATTTTTTGGGAAGTGACAGGCGCAGCCACCCTGCGGTACCGGGGACAGGGGCAGCCGTCGTGCCGGGAGGGCCGGTGGGTGCCGGCCGAGGGCGGCCGCGCCAGCCGAGTGCACGCCGCCGAAACGGGCAGGGAAGCTCCTCCTCCGCCCTCTCTGATTTTTCCAATGACAGATCTAGGTCACTAGGACAAGTCGCAAAGGCTGCCGAGCCACCGCACGCTCCTCGCCACGCTGCTTGCAAAACAAGTGAGCAGGAGGGCTGGAAACCGTATAGGATTATACAAGGCAAAGCCTCTGCCCCGGCCCCGGCGCAGCCGCGGCGCAGGGAAGGGACAGGGGAGAGGAGCTGCCGTGGCCCCCCGGGGAACGGGGCAGAGCAGGGGCGGTTTTGGGGAGGAAAATGGAGATTGAGTCAATTTGGCGTCGCCATGCGGCATTCGGGCTTCGAGAGATGAGGACGCAGGACTGCGGGAAAAACGCCTCGCTGGGGGAAAACCATGGGATATCAGGGGGGTTTGGCCCCTAAATTAGGGTCAGCACGCAGTAAATGGGGAGGGGGGGAAAGGAAAAAAAATTATATAAAAAAAGGAAAAGTTTGCCCAGTTGTTAATTAATCCGGTGCCGGCTGTGCAAGGGCTACGTAAGAGCCAGGCGTGTGGGCAATTAGGCAGGCGTTAATGCTTCCCTCCTCACTAATAAAGGTGAAATCCTGGGGTGACGAGGGGTGGGAAGAGGGATGTGGGGGCTCACCTCGCCCTCGCCCACCCCAGTCCCACCGTTACACAAGAGTGCGGCGGTGGTGGAGCCGCAGCGCCCGCAAGAAATGGGGTCTGAGGAGCCCGAGGATGCACGTCCTGGCACCTACACCCCAAAACACACCCCCAAAACACACCACCGAGTCCTGGGGTGGCTCTAAAGCGGGGATGGAAATCCCAGCCCAGAGCGTGAGGTCCCAGCAGCTCTGTAGGAACAGAGCTGGGTCCGGCCACCGCTGCGTCACCACCACCAGGCCCCGGTGGATCGTCCGTCCCACTGGAGCCTTCCTCCCTCCATCCTCCTCCTCCCCACCGCCTGACTGGCAAAGCAGAGGGGTGACAAGTAGGAATTGTCTTTCATAACGGGAAAAACAGGCAGGTGCTGGCGCGACTCACCCCTGACCGGGACAAGGGGCACCCAAAATTGCACCCAGGTCCCTTGCCCGCCTTCGCAGGCGCCTCCCAAACTGCCCCCCGCGCCGCGGGGAGGGGGAAAAGGGGGGAAAAAACCCACAATAAATCCAGCCCTGGTGGGAGCAACATATTGAAGAGGAGATTAAGGGGTTTAGTGCGAGGAAAAGCTTAAGAGCGGGTCTAAGCCGGCGTCGGAAAGCGAAGCAAAATAAACAAGAATTTTATTCCTAACGGAGGGGGAGCTGGAGGAGGCAGAGCGGTTTGCTGAGGGTTCCCTCCTGGTCCCCCTCCGCGCAGCTGGTGCAAGTCCCCCCTTGTCCCGTTCCAGCGGGGCTGATGCGGGTCTCTCCCGTGTCCCCTTTGGGGCTGGTGTGGGGTCCCTCCCATCCCCCTCCGCGGGGCTTGTGCAGGATCACCCCTTGTCCCTCTCCAGCGAGGCTGACGCGGGTCCCCCCTTGTCCCTGTCCGCTCTGCCGCCGAGCCTCCCCCGTCCCCCTCCGCGGGGCCGCCGCGGGACCCCCGTCCCTCACCGGCGGGGTTGATGCGGGTCCCCCCGTCCCCCCGTCCCGGCTGACGTCGAGTCCCCCCCGTTCCCCTCCGCGGGGCTGTTGCGGGTCCCCCCGTCCTCCACCGGGGCCAACTTGTGCCGCTGCCCCCGGGGCCGCGCTCTCCGGTCCCCCCGCGCCCCGAGCCCCCCCAGACCCACCTCGCATCGTGTCCGCCGCGGTCAGGGCGCCGGGGGCGGCATGGGGCGCGGTGGTCCAGAGCGGCGCGGGGCGCGGCGGGGAGCGCGGGCACCGGGAGGCACCGGGCGGCACCGGGAAGCACCGGGCGGCACCGGGCGGCTCTGGCACCTGCCCCTCCGCCGCGCCGTGACCCACTTCTGCCCGAGCATGCGGCCGTTCACATGACGAGCCCGCCCCGCCCCCCCAAATCGGTTTCACTTCCAGCCCCACCTCCTGCCCTTCGTCCTCCTCCTCCTCCTCCATCCCCATCCCCGCCGCTCCGGCGCTCGGCGCTGCGCGGGCGCTGCCGGCGCCTCCCCTGGACCGGGGTCTGCGCGACCCCCGCCCGGCCGCGGCCGCGGGGGTGCCCGGCGCTGCCCCCCGGCGCTGCCCGCCCCCGGGAGGGCCGTGCCGGTGCCCGTCCTGCCCCGGCTCGCCCAGGCACGGGGCCGGCTGCGTGTGCCGCTGAATCACCGCTCCCTTGCCTCACTCCGCTCCCGCTCAGCCCCGCAACCCCCCAGATGGGTGGGGGGGTCTGCCCAGGGTGCAGCACCCGGCTCTTGGAGTGTGTGTGTGGGGGGGAATGCCGGGACCCCCATGCAGCCACCCCTTGTACCCACACCAGGGTGCAGATGCTCAGGTCCGAGGGGACATTCTGGGGGACCTGCGGGTCGGGAAGGGCGCTATGGAAGCAGTCGGAAGCTTTGGAGGTGGCAGCGAGGCATTCCCACCCTGTCCTTCGTGCTGGGATGCACACAGGTGGCTTTGTGGCTCCAGGTTGTGGCCCAGATAAGGGGGGTAAAGTGATGGTGGCCCTTGACCCCACCTGGGATGGTGGCTGTGGGGTGGCTCCAGGCCATGCAAAGCAGCCTGGCGGTGCAGGGCCGGAGGTGTCGGCACGGGGCAAAGTCCCCTGGCTGGGGTTTGTGGTGTGACTCGTGCGCCAGGTCACCAGAGTCCTCCCTGGTGCCACATCACGGGGTGGAGGTGCCTGGTCCTGGTCACGCTGGGCCAGGACTCAGGTGCCACGGATGCAGCAGTGCCTGGGGACACCCCGGGTCCTGGGGACAGTGGCACTGGCCTGGAGACCTGCTGTGTGCAGAGAGGGCATCTCCCGTGGGCATGAGCACAGTATCCACCATGGATGTGGATCTGGTATCCACCATGAGCGTGGATGTGGGATCTACCATGGGCATGAACGTGCCATCCACCAGGGGCATGGGCCCAGCACCCGTCACGGACATGGACCTGGCATCCACCACAGCCATCAGCCATGGAACGTGGCGTCCCCACGGGCACGAGTGTGGCATCAGTCATGGCCAGCAGCATGGCATGGCCCTGGCCACCACATCACCCACCATGGGCACAGAGGTGACACCCACCACGGGCACAGATGCAGCCGCCATCACCACACAGGTGGCATTGCTACCTCCTCCCCACACGCCCCTCCTGCCCTCACAGCTTGGCCCTGAGGGGGCACCTCAGCCCCCAGACCCTCCAGCTAAACCATTTAATGACAGCTGAGGAGGGTGATTTCAGCCCACACTCGTCCCAAAGCCTGGGCTGAGCGGGGGGTGCAGGGATGCTCTGAGGCTCCCCCACCGCTCCGGGAGCTGTCCCCCGCTCTGGCGCAGGGGCTGAGCCGTGGTGGCACTCTGTGTGCTCCCACCCGTGTTACCACCTCGCTCTGCCCCCCGCGCTGTGCCGGGGAGGGGGACACGGGCTGGGGGGTGGAGGGGGCGGAGGGGGCCGGGCCGCCCGCCGCGCTCCAGCGCTGCTGTCTGACATGATTTCGCTGATGGCGATTGGGAACGGGTTCGCTGCTCTCGCCGGTCGGATTCGCTCCTTCCTCCCGGCTTTCCCTCCCTCCTCCCGCCGCGCTCCGCATGGATGGGCACGCAGACGGGACGCGGGGCGACGGCTCGTTCCAGGCTCCGCTGCCAGCGCGGCTCCTGCGAGCGCAGCCCCGGATGGAGCCAGGAATCCCACCCCGGCACGGCCCGGGCAGGGGCAGCCCCGCTGCCGTCCCCGGGGGTCACGGGAGCTGCCCAAAGGAGGTCACCCTCATTAGCCCCATTTCAGATGGGGAAACTGAGACCGGGAGCAACGCGGTGACTCCTCGAGGCACGCGGGGTCCGGCCCCGGCCAACTCGCCCCTCCCAAAAAGGCGGTCGCCGATTGCCGCTGTTGGGACAGTCGCGGCCGAATCGCGCCAGAGCGGGAGGGAAAATAGTCCCCGAGCGCTCGGCGCAACCCAAAAGTATGGGGTTACATAAGCGGCACCACACCTGCTGTGAGCAACGCGGGACCCACGCACCCATCCACGCACCGCTCCCGCCGCCGGCCCCTTAACCCTTCGAGTGCGGGGCCCGGACCAGCACACACAGGCGTGGGCACGAGCCGAGGGGAGCCCCGGGGGAGCAGGAGATGCTGCAGATGCACCCCAGCAAGTGCTGGGTGCTGCAGCTCTGGTACCCGGCCCCGCGGGTTTGGGGCCACGGGCGGGAGGTGGAGAGGCTACAGCAGAGCAGGACCCCTTTTCTCGTGAGCGGGGTCTCACCCCACAGAGTCGGCCACCTTTAAATTGGGGTCCTGGTGCCACCAAAGCCAGAACGAGGAGGAGCCAGTTCACTGGTTGTTGAGCCCCTGGAGCAGCATTTGCTCCTGACAGAGGAATGACCTCCCCTCCCCTTGCCCAGGGCTGTTTTGGCTGTGGCAGCACTGGAGGTCACCGAACCTCCCCCTACAAACCATCTCCCCCTCCCCTCGCTGCTGTGGGAGCTGGTGCTGCTCTGCTCACAGCCCCTCACCCCAGGACCCACCCAGTGCCATTCCCAGTGACTGGGAAGCAGCAGGAATGGAGGGACCAGTCCTGCCATGGGTGCTGCCAGATCCCGACTCAGTGCCAGGAGCTGCACCCCTCGAGGCAGTGCTGGGGGACAGGTCCAGCAGGGCTGGATCCAGCCCATCACAGGTGGCACCAGCAGCCCTGGGCATCAGCGGCGCGAGCAGGACTCGGCCACTGGGAAGAGATAAAGAAGCAAAAACTGCCACTCTCCACCATCCAGCCCTTCTCCTCCTCCTCCTCCCCCTCCTGGCCCGGCTTCACCACCAGCTCTCTGTGGTCAGGGCCAGGGCACTGCCAGACGTTGAAGTTGGCATCACTGGCACGACTCCATCGCCAGGATCGGCCCAGTCGGCCCCTGTGGCTGGCCTGGAGGTGAGCAGAGCAGGAATTTGGGATGACACCATCACCTCTTAATCACTGTTTGCTCCCGCTCATGCCCCACCCAGCGAGAGGGGAACCCTCCACCAGCATCACCCGTCCTGCACCCACAGCCCCTCACCCCCGTGGGGACCCCTGAGCCCCCACCAGGGCTGTGCCCCGTGCTCGGTGGTCCCTGGGCTGGCACAACTGGCCCCGTGGTGGCCCTGCCAAGGGCTCCCTGCCATGGGCACTGCCAGGCTCTGCTCCTCGCCGTGACTCAGTTTCCCGTCGGGAATGCTGACCTGCCCGGTGGGGAGTGGGTCACAGGGTGAACCCACGGACAGGGGGCCACAGCTCTGGTGTCCCCAGATCTGCTCCTCAGGTGCCAGCGTGGGGATGTGCCCCATGGCAGCCCCTCAGACCCAGGGCTGGGCAGGAGCCCTGTCCCTCAGCCCCGGGGCTGGGCTCTGGGTGTGGGCAGTGGGGGCAGAGAGGCTGTGGCACCTGCAGCCTTATTGTGGCCCCCTGGCTGTGGGGGCAACACCACAGAGCCCCTCCCCACCCCCCAATCAGGGACAGGGTCCCACTGCTTTGTCCTCTCCATGGCGTCGGTGCCACCCTCCCTGCCAACCCCACTGTCAGAGGAGGATGGGCAGGGCAGGACGAGGGTGCCCTGGCTGTGCCAGGCAGGGCCTGTGCCCTCAGACCTTGGGGACGAGATGAGGCTTTGCCGCCTGTGCCGGTCCTGGCAGCCAGCGGGATGGGGAATGGTGCTGGGCACGTGGCACTGCCACAGCGGCGTTGAGTCACCGTGTCCCAGCACCGCTTATGCAAAGGCTGCCACGGGCTGTGGGGCCGTGGGGTGATGGTGTGGGGCTTTGGGGCCGTGGGGCTGTGGTGTGGGGCCATGTGGTCTTGGGGTTGAGAGGTGGCAGTGCCGTGGGGATGTGGTGTGGGGCCACAGCACGGGGCTGTGGGGCTGTAGGGCCGCGGGGCAGGGCGGGTGCCACTCGGGCACACTGCAAGGACAAAGCAGGGCACAGAGAAGGGGGAAACTGAGGCAGCACTGGGGGACACCCCCGAGTCCCGGTGCCCAGGCGGGGCCGGGGGGCAGCGGGGCCGGGTTGTAAGCGGAGCCCCCGGGCTGGCCTGACCCGCTGCCGCTCACGTAACGCCCACCCGGTGCTTATGCAATGGCTGCTGCCGTGTGGCGCTGAGGGACACCCGACGCCGCGGCAATTACCCGGCCCCTAATCAGCGGCGACGCTGCATAACGAGGCTAATTGGAGCCGCGGCCAGCAGAGCTGCCGGGGAAGGGACGTTCGGTCTCATCCCGCACCCGGAGGGGTGCCCCGAGCAATTAGTGACTTCCTCAGGGGCTGGGGGGGCAGTCATGGCCGGGCTGGGCCCTGCTGTGGCCCGGGCACAGGTTAGGGGTGCCCGTGGGGTGGGACCCTTTGGCTGGAGTGTGGCATCCCTGTCCCTGCCTGTATCTCCATCCCTGCCTGCATCCCTGTCCCTTCCTGCATCCCTGTCCCTTCCTGCATCCCTGTCCCTGCCTGCATCTCCATCCCTGCCTGCATCCCCATCTCTGCCTGCATCCCCATCCCTGCCTGCATCCCTGTCCCTTCCTGTAGCCCTGTCCCTGCCTGTATTCCCATCCCTGCCTGTATCCTTTCCCCCGCCTGCATCCCCATCTCTGCCTGCATCCCCATCCCTGCCTGCATCCCCATCTCTGCCTGCATCCCCATCTCTGCCTGCATTCCCATCCCTGCCTGCATCCCTGTCCCTTCCTGTAGCCTTGTCCCTGCCTGTATTCCCATCCCTGCCTGCATCCTTGTTTCTGCCTGTGTCCCCATCAATTTCTGCATTCCCATCTCTTTTTTCATGCCTGTCTCTGTTTGCATCTCCATCCCTGCCCGCATC